GGGGCATTTTGATTTGCATTCATTAAAAAATTACTTTCAAGGTCATGTAGCATATTCTTCCCATCCTCCCATCACTTGGTCTAAACAGCTGAAGGGATAGGATCAAGGAGATTAAAATTCATTTGTTCAGACTTTACCTTCAGATGTTACTAAGCCTTCAGAGACCCCTCTGTTGTCGCTGCCACCTATCGAGATTCATGTCCAAAGTTGCTTGGGAAGTAGCCCTTTCTCTGGACTTTCCAGGTCTCTTATGTGTCGTATAGTCCATGTGGAGAAGGTATGAGTAAACTGTGCTCTCTGGCTTGTGGGGTCTGGTGTCACCCACTACCCTAGTCCCTCAACACTGTAGATGTCTAAGTGTGGTTGATTGTAAATGTGCAAACTCCAGCTAGTTTCTCCTGGCCCCCTTCTCCCACCACTAAATCTTCTCTTGGTTCATGTGATGTACTTTTCGAAATGAATCTTTAAAAGCTCCCAAACTAATTTTATCAAAATTAACCTCTAATTCCCTAAGAAATGATGTGGCCATGAAAATTTAATCAACAACCTGTTGCCTCTGTTATAAGAAAGCATCGTGTGACTGATAAGAGGGAAAAGATTTCTTTCCCCCAAGAAGCAAGCATTGATTGCACCGAATGTTCACGCTTACAAAAACTGTGGACAGCGTATTGTTTTTAACCATCACTGTGTGAAATGCATTTCTGCCCATCATGTTAATGTGGAAAGTTTTCTCTCCATCTGATTGTCAAAGTGACATATCAGAATGATTGAGATGGTGTGAACCTACTTGTTTTGTCTTTTATGAAGCGTGTTTGAGTGAAGTTAGAACCTGCTGATGAGGCCATGCCATGCCATTGCCAGGGTCTTGGACATGCCTGTGTTTGGGTTCAGTGTTGTACTGAGCGCTCATCATATGGAGAGTGATAGCATGCTGATAAAGTTAAAATCTGTTGAAATGTTGTAATCCAAATGGAACCTACACGTGTTAACATGCCCACGAGTGTACCAGCGTGGACTGGGCCAATGCATCATTTGAAGTAAGTCTGAGGAGAACCGAAGTTTTACATGTATTCAGAAACAGTCGCATGGATGGAGCTGCTTTTAGTCTGCTCTCCGTAAGTCCTCATGTTGTGAACTTTGCTGAAGCAAAGCTTGAATTAAAAGCACTCTGACTTCTGAGACCGAGAGCCCCCGAGGGCAGGACTGAGGGTGCTAGGGGTGGTCGTGCAATTGTCAGAGTGCCACGGACATTGGAGGTAAAAAAAAGCCCAGAGTTTCCATGAGCCAGGGTTGTCCTTTACGGGGACCAACATTTGGGACAAGCCAGATAGCACCCTTCTGACACTGAGTGTAAAGTGACATATTCTTTCCTCCCCAAGTAAGTGTGGGCATCTGAAAGGTTTCCCCCTTCCCTAATAGTGCCATGACTAAGTTTGCTTGGATGAATGATTTAAAAATATTTTTTAAATTTAAATTCAAGAGTCACAGGGACTAGCTACTGCTTTTTTCTGAATAATAAAAATACTGGTAAAGCTGCCTAAAGGATACTTTCTCTTGGTAACAAACAATGGAGAGTGAAAAAATGGAGAGATAATTATGTGGAGATTTATGTAATATATGTTCTGTGCAATTTTAATTTTAGTTTTTTGATGACTTTCATTGGGTGAGTGTGGTTAATCAATGTAAACAAATGTGGCTTGTGATGTGTCTATTCATTTAGATTCTTACCCTCCCTCTCTTGACACAGTGAGAACAAGATTGTAAGAACATTGCTGATGACTTTGTAGAATTACAGGACCCATTTATTCATACAGTATCTAAAAGAAGCAAACATTTCATTCTTTATTTGCTCTGTGACTTTTGTGTATAGTACAGCAACTACTAGCCATCACCTTGGAAGGAGCAATGTTGGCCTGTCTGTACCATTCATGATATCGATAGTGATATTGAGTCAGAGAATCAAGGAAAGGGTCTTTCTCCTGCCTAGAGAATGTCGTTGAATACTGGCAATTTATAAAAACAAGTCACAAAATCAGCATTGAAGCTGCTTAAACAGGTCCCTTCTCTCCAAAGGTAGTCCTCAACATTTAAAGACCCTGGTTTAAATTTCGGAAGAGATCATCTCCTCAGTCTTTCCCAATTACCAACCGTGCAGAGGCCAGGTGTGGGAAATTGGTGTGGGACATCAAGGATACAGAACTAAGACTTCATCCCACCTGGTCATTGCCTTCC